CACAGTCTCTACAGCGAGGTCCTAAAATGAACACTTCCTCCCATCTGGGGAGTTAGTTCCATTGCTGTCTTCAGCTCCTCTCTTAAAAAAATTGAATTTTGTCAACTGTTTAATGTCTTTTATGTGAGCTAGTTTGGATCTTACAAAAATAATTACTTTACAACATTTCAATAATACTATTGTTTGAGGTACTGTGCTTGGCTTGGCTCCTGCAAAGCTTGTGGCAGTCCAGTAGTTATGCAGGTGACTGAGTTGTCATTTGAGGTGTGTTGCTCTTTCCTCTTTCCCATTATTTTTAACAACCTCTTCCATCAATGTGGCACTAGGGACAGGACCTGCACTAGGCAGGTCCATCCTTCAGTCAGATGTTTGTTAGTGGGATGTGATTGATCTTGTTTGGGCATCATCACCTGTTTTACACCATTAGTTCTTTTCTCCCTGCTCTCTATGCCCCCTGCAATGCTGGTGATGGATTGTCTTGTCCAGGAATCTGATCTCTGTCCTGTTCCTTTCCCAGGATAACGTGGCACACTTCTGCTACCCCTTCACTGTGGATATGTTTTATACACAAGAAGACGAAGGTTTGTTTCCTTGTTACTCTGAAATCCTTTGATCCCAGTGTAGCCATCATGCTCTCTGGCCTGTTGGAGATGAAAGGACAGAGGGGAATGTTTCTGGTTCAGCAAACATTCACCCTCTGACCATATAGTCCCCAGATTCATACCATGTTTGCCCTGCCCAGGAATCCATTAGCATTTGTATGGATCATTGATGTTCCCCTGCTTCCAGACTATAAGCAGCTTTATCCAGTGGCAAAACTATTTGGATCTTCGTTTGTCTGTCTCAAAACCTGGCATGCTGGGCTGTGTTGCTGTGCCTGGTGTGCTGCACAGAGCCCTGGGATGCTGCAGCAGGAGAACCAGGCAGCATTTTGTACACAGCTAAAACTCTGTGCTGAGTCTTATGTTTGTAGACACGCTCAGTGACCTGTATAGCCCTTGTGTAGTTCATGTCACATTGAAACTTCAGCTCTATTTAAAGCTGGACTTCTCTGCTGCCTGTTCTGCTGCTTCCTCACCAACCCTGTTGCTCTGTGGGTGCAATTGCTAGGGACAGCCTTGCCTCTTGAATCTATTGTACACTTTGGATTTGGGTATTCAACCAACACTAATGAATTTTCAGCCTAGAAGAAACACAGTGAGTTTGTTTTACTGTGGAAAAAAGAAATGCTTGGAGAGTTGTAGAAGAATCCAAGTTAATCATTCCCTAATAATGGTGGAAGAGGTCAGAAGTAAACAGGTTGCTCTGTTTGGCATCAGATCATTCATGAAAGATTATCTTGTGTGCTCAGAGATAATGGAGAACCCAGTTTGGACTTGCTCTTAAAACAAAGAATTTTCCCAGATTTTTAGCATCGGTAATTCTGTTTTCATCCTCAAATCTGAGGGTTCAGCTTTTGCAGAGGAAAATAATCACCCATACATCTTTGTTAGTCATTGCAGAAGAAATGCAGAAAGGATTGTGGTGGAAAGGTGCTGAAGTGTGTCCAGAGAAGGGAACAACGGAGCTGGGGAAGGGGCTTTAGCACAAGACTGCTGAGAAGTGGCTGAGGGAGCTGGGGGGGCTCAGCCTGGAGAAAAGGAGGCTTAGAGGAGACCTCATTGCTTTCTCCAGCTCCCTGCCAGGAGGTGCAGCCAGGTGGGGTCAGGCTCTGCTGGCAGGGAATGAGGGACAGGACAAGAGGAAACAGCCTCAAGCTGTGCCAGGGGAGGTTCAGGTTGGACATCAGGAGGAATTTCTTCATGCAGAGGGTTATCAGGCATTGGAAGGGACTGTTCAGGGAGGTGGTGGAGTCACCATCCCTGGAGGTGTTCAGGAGATGACTGGATGTGCCTGGTTTGGTTGACAATGGTCAAAGGTTGGACTTGATGGTCTTGGAGGTCACCTAAATGATTCTGTGATTCTGGGACTTTCTAGTAGTGGAGCTAGACATTTAACATCTTTTTCTCTGTGGTAGTCTTCTTCCCAAAGCTGTGACCTGCTCCCTTTCTTGCAGACAGTCTCCCTCAGTGGCCTATTCTCTACTTTGAGGTCCTATCCCTGGATTTCTGGCAGAGGTATCGTGTGGAAGGATATGGGTCTTTGGTGCTGCCAGCATCTCCAGGTAAAACATCCCTGGGACATCGTGTGAATTGTCTGGGAAAATGAGTTGAGTGGTTTTCTTGGGAATAGCTGGTCCTGGGGATTCAGTGTACTGAAGAGGATGAACAGCTGTCTAGGGGCAGCAAAAAAGGATGTGATGCATTCTGCACCATTCTGCCCTGGTTTTGAGGCACATTATGAGTTGCTGTCCTTGCTCCTTTGGTGGTTCCATCACCAAATCTGTTGTGATGAAGCTCTGGGGTGGTACTACAGTGGCAGGAGCCCTCTCACCCTACATGGGCTCTGGAGGTGACCCCCATGTGTTGTGAGGAGATGCTCCTCATGGGCCTGGGCTACTTTCAGCACTGGCTGTGTGACTGGAAGGGTCTGACTTAGTGGCAGGATGTTTGTATAACATTTTTGATACTGTGCAGTGTTTCCATTTCCAGCCAGCTGTGGTTTAGGTCAGCAGGTACCCACCTCTGTGACTCTGAACAGACCCCTGGTCACAGCAGCTAAACTGTGCTCTTCTCCTGGGCCAGGTGTCCACAAGCTCACCATCCCTGCCTGGCGCCCTGTGGAGCTGGGGACAGTTGCTGAGATGAGGAGGTTTTTCATTGGAGGATCTCCTGAGCTGGAGGACTTAACCTACATCCGGGTACCATCGACCTTCAAGGTGGGCTCAGCTGCAGGACAGCCTCTTGCTGGGAGTTGGTGCATGATGCTCTCAGGTTTGCGTGACTGTGGACAGCCTGAACCAGATTTGAACTAGGATGAATTGATGCTCCTGTTCCTCTCACTAAAGAAATGTCTCATCTGTGAGACTTGTGATCCTGAACAGAGGAATGGACAAATGCTTAGGCAGAGCTCTCCCTTCTGAGGGGTGAGCAGCTTAGAGAAGTGGAGGAACATGGACCAAAGACTTACACCTGCTTGCAAAGTGTCTGTCAGGTCAGCATTTAGTACTAGCTATAGATTTCTCCTGGGTTTCTGTAAGGGATTTGGGCTGTACTGTGCCTGGAACAGCTTCCCAAAGCGAGAAGCTGTGTGTGTGGCAGGCAGAAACTTCATGTTCTTAAGAAAGCTGCGGAGGTGCTTGGCGGGTGTAATGAGCAAGGTGAGCCCTGATGCACTTGTTGAAACCTTCCCCCAGCACTGCACTGGCGGCTGCCAAGAGTTTATGGCCTGTCCTCAGCATGGCCTGGAACTGTCTGCCCTTCTTTCTGACCTTGCAGAGGAGGGAGAGACCATGCCCACAGAACTTTGTGCTCTGGTGGGACACTTGTTTTCACTGGAGTTACTCTAACCTGTGCCATCTTTGCAGGGAAAGCGCCTGAGCCGCTTCGGTTTTCGGACAGAGACCACAGGCAGTGTGACATTCCGGCTGTACTGCCTGCAGCAGTCGAGGTAAGTGCAGCACAGGGAGTACAAGCTCCATCTCTTGTGCTGGTTTTGGCAGCCCTGACCTCCTGCTGTGCTTCTGTGCAGGGCCTTCCTGGAGACCAGTTCCCTGAGGCAGCACATGCAGAACGTATCGGACCGGCTGGGAGGCTTCAGCCAGCAGAGCTCTGTCTACAACGTTTTGGGTAGGGCCTTCAGTGTCATTCTCCCTCGTGAGCTTTGGCTCGCTTTTGCCTCCTTTTTACAGAGTGGGCAGGATACTTCAGGAGAATCTATTAGTGGAGAGGTAATTACCCTCCCTGTGAGCTCTGTGAGTCCATAGCAGAGGTAAAATGTTTTGCTCTGAGGAGGGATAACTGCTGTGTGAAGGCACAGCCTGGACTGGGCTGCTCAGTCCTGCCTGGCACTGAGCATAGCTGCTGGCACTGAGGCACAGACTCTGTCTCTGATTACATTGTGCACAGAGCAAGGAGAGTGCTAGAAATCAGAGAGCAGCACAGTCCAGGTGCTTTGGTAGTGGAACTTAGTCATAGGTAATGAGACTCTTGCACCAGAAGAGATGATATTCACTGGACAAACACATCCCTCCCCTTCCCTGAGGGTGTGTGATGCATTGTGGCCTACTGTCACCTCTGTGTTGTAGAGGCTTTCCAGCGGGCACGGCGCCGGATGCAAGAAGCACAGGAGAGCCTTCCTCAGGACCTCATCAGCACCTCTGCCTCCTCTGTGCCCCATCCCCAGGAGCTGTGAGCACCACCTCTGCTGCCTGGCAGCATGCAGCATCCTCCCTCCAACACCAGCTCTCATCCCTCAGCAGGACTCACAGTGCTGGTGCCTGGAAGCTTCTGAAGCCCTTTGTTGTTTTTCCCTGGATGGGGGAAGGAGTCTGTAACACTCCAGATCCAGAATCTTTGCATTTCCACAGGTACCTGTGAAAGGAGCCTCTTTTTTCAAGGCCCTTTGTTCCCAGGCTCTAACAATACAGCCAGTTGTTCATATTTCTACTGAGCAGAGTGAAATACTGATGTGGGACCTGTGAACCCTGTAACACCTTTTCAGGTATTGAATATTAAATAATGAGAAAATTTGACATGACTTGGTAAATTTTAGTTTTCTTAAACAAAACAACACATGACATCCTTGTCTCTAAACTGGAGAGACATGGGTTTGATGGGTGTAGCACTGGGTGGCTAAAGAACTGGATGGATGATCACACACAAAGAGCTGTGGTCAG